GATCGTGGACTTACTCGCTTGAACGCATAGCTGCACATGCTGCGGATGGCACGTCGCAGGTGGAGCCTGTGCATGGGGAGACCCACTTCGTGGACAAGATTGCGTCCGCTGCGATGTCGATTCACGGCGTCAGGAAGGCAGCTGCCGACGCCCAGGCAGACTTCGACGCGTCTATCGCTGCAGCTGGTGCAGGTGATGATCACGTTGGTGCCGCTGCCGCTGGCGACGGCTCCAGCCCCGCCGACGCCAACGCACAGGCACGGGCGCAGGCTGCGGAGCTGGGGATCGTCGCGGCGCAGGCGGAGCCGCCGAATGTCATCACCTTGGGGACGCTGAGCGGGTTGCTCTCCTTCCAATCGGAGGCAGTGCAGGGAACAAGACCGGACGATCTGGCGGGGGCAGAGCTGCGCAACTCCATCACCGACGAGTTCGCTCGCGTCCCAGTGTTCAAGGTGCCGGAGAACGAGATCACATCTGCCTACGTGCGCCAGATATGTCTCCTTGCGGAGTCCGAGCTCACCAACTTGGCATTCCTCCCCAACGACGATACGTTCCAGTCAACCCGCCTCGACGCGCCAGCCCAGGTCGGCGTTGGCAAGAAGCAGACGGTCACGATGGTTACGACCAAGGCGCTCACCAAGGAGTTTAAGATGTTCTTCACTGGCTCGGTCAGCCCTCACCGTGGCCCTCAGAGTTTCCACATCATGACCATCAGCGGCGTGCGCATGCATGATGATCTGTTTGATTCCATATTTGATCGTGGAGATGTTGAGCCTTCGGCGCATTCGGCAGGTGCTACAGATGCGGCAGTGTCAGCGCAGGGGCAATTGGCGTTGCCAGCACCAGTGCACACGGCAGATGCGTTACCGACACCACCAGCCCCAGCGGCGGCGCCCGATGGCTCAGCCATGCCAGCCCTGGCGACGCTGGCCGTGCAGGGTGCGGCGCAGCAGGCAGCAGCTCCGGCAGCAGCACCGCAGCCACCGCAGCAGTCAGCGCCTCTGGCGGAGACGGCCGCTGCACTGCCAGCGCCCGCGGAGGAGGCGTCGGAGGCAGCGCTTGCAGCGCATGAGGGCGTCGCGGGCCCCTGTGACGACGGCAGCAGCTCGGCGCTCGCGGCTGCAGTGGGTCCTGAGGCTCGTGATGCGGCTGTTACGGCTGTGAAGGATGAGCGAGTCGAGGGCGAGGATGATGGTGATGCGCTTGAGGAGAAGGAGTTCGAGTGGGGGAAGGATGTTGAGGAGGGCAAGCTGCAGATCCCCATCTACCTCAATTTCAAGGAGGCCGACCACGGATTCCTCGCCGATTGCCCTGTGCCCGCCTGGCTCGTCAGGGCGCCCGCGGCCAAGGCGAAGGCGAAGAGCAAGGCGCGGCCCCAGCCCAAGCAGAAGGGGAAGAAGGGCAAGGGCAAGGGCGTGGACAAGGACGAGCCTGAGCCCGCTGAGGAGGAAGATCAGCCGCCAGTTCGCGTTGAGATGCAGTTGCTCACGCTGCAGCTCCCTCAGTGCTTGCGTATCCCGATGCGCGGGCACGAGCACGCGCAGGCGATCATGTCCATGCGCATGTTCGCCCCGGTGATTGTGCCGACGGCGGACGGCCTCGAGCGTGCGCCTCCGATCGAGCTGTATCGCACCCACTGCCCGCACGAGGTCAAGAAACCCGATGCGAAGAAGGACACAGCAGCTGCAGCTGGCGTGGCGCACCTCAGCGGTGCGACGATGCTCTCGGAGAGGCAGGGCGCGAAGCCAGGTGCCGCTGCCGCGCCCTCCCGCGCTGCTGCCAGCGCCAGCTCGAGCCACTACAAGCGCGGCCTTCCTACCAAAGGTAGCTATGGCCATTTGCTGAAGTGAGCTCGCAGGTCTCATTCTCGACTCGTCTCTCTCACGTCCGTGCTCTTCCGTCTTACCCTGTATCTTACCCCATAAGCTTCATAACCACAGACACGCAGGTTGTCGGATGATCATGGCGACGCCGATGATCATGATAAATACCACGACCTCCGACGACGATGGCGATGATTATGACGACCGCCACCATGACGGTCCACGACGCCCCGACGACTCACGACTACAACGACGACCCGACCGCGACCACCGCACTCCATTCCTCACGCCTTCTCCTCCACGATCCAACTATCCATCTGGGCCCGCACTATCCCTCCCTCCTCACTCCTCATCTTCTTTCATCTTGTCATACTCTGATCGTCCGTCCGTCTCCCCCCGTCCGTGCCCGGGCGTGCTGCGGCGCCTTCTCCGCGCAGCACGCGCAGCATGCTGCGCCACTGCGCCGCCCGGGCGGCCTGGCAGGCGGGCCGCTGGCGCCGCCCGTTTCGCAGAGGGCTCTGACCTAGAGCCTGGAGCCTCACCTCGTCACCTCCTCTCCTCACCTCGTCCATCACCCCCTGCACGCAGTCCTCCCTCGACCCATCGCCAACGACGGAGACTCGTCCCATTATTATCCTCAGTCTCGGCCTCAGACTCACGAGTCACGAACTCATCCGACGATCCGACTCTCCTGAGGACCTCCTGGCATTTTTTCTGTGCGTGCTGAGTTTGCTTCGGGATCGCCCCGCCGGCGCGTGCGTCGCGTACGTCCGTGCGTCGCCAGGCTGTGGGCCAATCCTATCCTAGGTTCCTGGCGGGCCCCTCCTCCTCCTCCTCCTCCTCCTCCTCCTCCTCCTCCTCCTCCTCCTCAGCCTGCTCAGCCTCCTCCTCCTCCTCCTCCTCCTCCTCCTCTGCCATCCCTCGACGCCCGCGCTGGCTGGCATGCCAGATGCAAGTTACTTAATGTAAGTCCTGTGGGTTTGATGTGCCGATCACCGCTCACGACTGCCATTGCGATTACAACGACGACGACGACGACGACTACGACTCTGCAGCGACGCTCGGCTCGGCACATCAACCCTGTAAGCGACGTTTATATGCTACTCTGGGCGCGTGTGTCCCGCCCGGTGCCGCGAGTAGCTTCGCTACCGCTAGCTCCTCTCCTCTCCCGTTCTCTCTCTAGTCTCTCTCTCTCACTCGTTCTTTTCGCTCTCTCGCTCTCTCTTTCTCCCTCTCGCTTTCCCATTCCGCCTCTTTCATCTCTTTCATCGTGGCTCGCCCCAGCGCCCGATCCGACGACCATGTCCTACCCTCCTCAGCTTGCCTCTATCATCCGTCCCTCCCTCCCTCGCTCCTCCCCTCTCCTTCTCTCCGACTCCTCAGGGACTCCTCCTCCTCCTCCTCCTCCTCCCTCCTCCGCCGTCGCCCCGTGGGCCAAAGGGCGCGGCCGCCCTTGCCATCTTACCATCCTCATCCTCATCCCCTCCTCTCCTCGTGCTGCGCTGCAGGGAGCTCGACAGGAGCGGCGGCGCGGGAAAAGGCGCCTTGCCACCATCGCAGCGGCCGCCGGGGTGGGGCGGCCGCGGCGGCGGGGCAGGTCCAGGACCGCCGCGGCGGCGGGAGGGCGCGGGAGGGGTTCCTCCTCCTGCCCTTCCTATCCCTCCTCCGCCTTCCTCCAAGGTCCTCTCTACCTCCTTACGTCTCTTGCCCTCCGCCTCACTCCTTTCCTCCTCCCTCCTCCCCCTCTCTCCCCCTTTCCTCTCTGCTCCCTCCTCCCTCCTCCCCCTTGCTCTCAGAACTGCGCTGAACATGCAGCGGGGGGAGCGTGGGTTCGAGATGGGGCGGCAACACCCCGAACGCTTGAAGTTGCCGCCTCTGCGTTCCGCACCACCTCACCCCTTGCCTCTGCTCTCCGCATGTCGGTGTCAGCACACCCCTCGCACGCCTCGTGGCTCCACATGGGGGCCCCATCGAAGGCCCCAGTGGCAGGGTCCGCATGGCGGCCCCGCACTCGATCGGTACGCGCCTCACACGTTTTGTGGCCTCATTGGGAGCTCCATCGATGGCACCAGCAGTGTCCGCATGGCGGCACCACACTCGTTCCGGTACACACCTCACACGTTTCGTGGCCCATCGTGGCCCCACAGGGAGCTCCACCGAAGGCCTCAGCGGCAGGGTCAGCATGGCGGCCCCGCACTCGATCCGGCACACCCATCACACCTCTCGTGGCCCATGAGGAGCTCCACCAAAGACGGTCGCCACAGTTGCGGTAATCACAAGTGCACATGGTTGGTTTCTTCGCCAGGATATGTTTGGTTACTGTGAGGTCGACAGACACGAGCACACACGGCGTTTTGACGTGTTGGTGGTCGGACAGTTTCCGTTGTACAGTGTTGCTTGCATGGCTAGGTTGAACACATGACACCATTGCGTAGTGGAGCTCTGAATGCTGAATGCGTTGTCGCAGTTTCTCGTGGCCTCGGGCACCAGCAAACATGTAAACACGCGACTCTCAACGTTGTCAACGTTTCTTTTTGTACGTTATATAGCATCTCTCTCACAAGATGAATCCGAGTGTAAGGCCCTCACTGAAAGAAACCTTGTGTAAGCCCGCCACACACATGGTATCCTTTCGTCAAGGCATTCACGATCATAATCCTTGTGCACGGCCGTCACAGGGGGATTTGCTTGATGTAAGGCCGCCACCAGCACAATCATTCCATGCTCTGCCACACGAGAATGCAAGTGCAGCGCCGTGAATATTCACGATATGAGAAGGGCGACGAGAGCCGAGCAATGAAGCAAAGTGGCTGGAATGCTAGAAACGATGTGCCCTTCGAGATGCTCCGTCGACATGGCTTATATATCCTCGGGTCCCTGGTTGGTATGCACCCATTGCTTCTGCCCAGAGGCGACGATTGGGACGACGATGCGGGTGCGTCGGCGGACCCGGTGCCGGCCGCGAAGCCCAAGGCGAAGCAGGCCAAGGATCAGGAGGTACAAAAACAACACAGACACACTTCATCGTCGATCCCCCAGAAAACAAGGGAAAATATGGGAAGTGGGGGGGAAGACAAAAACTCGAAACTATGGGAAAATATTGGGAATCCTTTTATTTGTGTGTATTTATTTGTGTGTCCCAGTTACCCTTCACAGGAAGATACTGCCGAGAGGAAGATGGAGGCTCCGCCGGCGAAGAGCAAGCCCAGCGGGGCCGAAGACGACGACGACGCTCCGGCAGCGAAGAGCAAGTCTAGCGCGGCCGAGGAAGACGGAGATGACGACGCCTGGTCCGACGACAGTGATGAAGACGGGGGCGCTGGCAAGGCCAAGGCCAAGGCCAAGGCAAAGGACTCCAGTAAGGCCAAGGTCGAGGACGACGATCTCGAGGACGAGGACGATGACGACCTGGAGGACGACGATGTCGACGACGTCGAGGAGGGCTCCCTGGAGCCGGCCCAGGACCCAGAGTACGCTCACTGCAGCGACTCGGGTCACGACTGCAGCAAGACCCAGTGCTGCAGCCAGCCTGGGGAGCAGTGCTGGACCAAGAACTCCACTTGGGCCATCTGCCGCTCTGGCTGCATGAAGGGCCGCCACGTAACCGAGGAGGACGGCAAGCCTTGGTCATGCGAGAAGTTGGGCGATCGCACGCCAGGAGCTCGAATAATGATAGTAGTCATGACAATAAGAAAAAAGTACGTTGCGTAAGCATAGGCTTTGGGAGGTCCGCGCTGGTCCTGGAAATCTGCGCGGCCCTCGGGAAGCGTGTGTTTGTGCAGCTTTCTCTGCCTGTCTGAGGAAAGGCGCCCAAGTGCAGCGCGATCGGCGAGAATTGCATCAATTCGCACTGCTGCCGCGACATCGGCTTCCAGTGCTACGAGAAGAACGCCGGCTACGCTACCTGCAAGGCAAGGCTGCTTACGATCCTATTATCCTATTCGATGCGATTCTATTTGCCGGCTGGGGCCGCGATTCTAATGCGAATCGATTCGGTTCGGGTCGATTTATTGGCGTCGGCCAGGGCGAGGGCTAGCCAGGGGTGCGGCGATCCGATGTTGATTCGATTTAGGATGCCTCGTTGACGATCCGATCCAGGTTCGTTCCGATCCGATGTCGCGGCTCGATCCCGCTCGGGCCTGCAAGGACAGCTGCAGCGAGGCGCTTGACCCGTCGGACAAGGACAGCGACCCGTGGACCTGCAAGGAGCTCGGCACCAAGAAGCCAGGCCGCGCCGCGTGGACCGAGGACGACTGCTCCGCGGACTGGACGGACTGCAGCAAGACCAAGTGCTGCAAGGTCGCGGGCTCGACCTGCTTCCAGCGCGACGACATGTGGGCATCGTGCCAGGACGCGTGCACCGACAAGAGCTGGACGTGCAAGCGACTGGGTCCGCCGATGCCCATCCCCGAGGCGGACTCGCTCGAGCGCCTGCTCCCGAAGCTCAAGGCCGCCCCGTGGGTCAAGTCGGAGTGCGCCGCCTTCGGCAGCAACTGCATGGACGAGAAGTGCTGCATGGACGCCGGGGCCAAGTGCTACAAGAAGAATAGCAAGTACGCCACGTGCAAGTCGACGTGCGTCAAGGGCCCAGACCCCGCCGACAACGACGGCAGCGAGCCCTGGTCCTGCGAAGAGGTCGGCCCACGCACCCCGGGCAAGCCAGAGGTTCACGTGCTGCAGGGCGGCAGCAAGGCTGCCTGGGCGCAGGACGAGGAGGAAGAGCGGGACGAGGAGGAGGAGGGGGAGGAGGAGGGAGGGAGGGAGGGAGGGAGGGAGGGTGGGAGGGAGGGAGGGAGGGAGGGAGGAGGAGGAGGAGGAGGAGGAGGAGGAAGGAGGAGGAGGAGGAGGAGGAGGAGGAGGAGGAGGAGGAGGAGGAGAGGAGGAGCTGGAGGAGGAGGAGGAAGCGGAGGAGAAGGAGGAGGAGGAGGAAGAAAAGGAGGATGCGGAGAAAGAGCGGGAGGAGGAGGAGGAGGAGGAGGAGGAGGAGGAGGAGGGAAGAGGGCGGCTGCAAGGCTGTCTGGGTGGATGACGAGTGCGCCGACACCGGCGCGGACTGCAGCGACAGCCGGTGCTGCAAGGACCAGGGCATCCAACAAGGGTTCCTGCGCACTCGCGTCGCCACGAAGCACAGGGATTCCAGAGGGAAGGATGTCCCAGACCTCCAACGTCTTGCAAGATCAAGACGCCATGTTTGGGCCGTTTTCGGCCTCTCGGGCCCTCGCTGGTCCACGCGGCACCGTCAACACGGATATGCCTTGGACGAGAAGAGCTGGTTCCGTGGAGGTGGCCCAGAGGTCAAGGAGGAGGAGGAGGATGAAAAGGAGGAGGAGGATGAGGATGAGGAGGAGGCTGAGGAGGAGGAGGGGGAAAGACGAGGAGGAGTAATAATAATACGAAGAAGAGGAGGAGGGGGAGGAGGAGAAGGAGAGGAGGAGGAGGAGGGAGGAGGAGGAGGATAGGGGGCCCGCGAGGCAAGACATTTGAGGCCTGGGTCTTTGAGGTCCAACTGGCGGTCGCCCGCGGCCATCCCGGGGGACCTCCGGGGGGGGGGGGGTGGTGCCGGGTCCCCCGGGTGCGGTCGAAGGCGCCTCGGGGCAGGACAGTGTGCCCGAGACCCGCGGGGTCCAGGACACTCCTCCCCCTCCCCCCTCCCCCTCCTCCACTCCTACCTCCTCCCTTCCTTCACCTGCTCCCCTCCTTCCTCCTCCTCCTCCTCCTCCTCCTCCTCCTCCTCCCCTCCTCCCTCCTCCTCCTCCTCCTCCCCTCCTCCTCCTCCTCCTACCTCCCCCTCCCCCTCCCCCTCCTCCCCTCCTCCCCCTGCCCCTCCTGGCTCCTCCTCCCCCTCCCCCTCATTCGCTCCCCCTCCTCCTCCCCCTCCTCCTCACCTCCTCCTCCTCCTCACCTCCTCCTCCCCTCCTCTCCTCCTCCTCCTCCCCCTCCTCCCCCTCCTCCCCTCCTCCTCCCCTCCTCCCCCTCCTCTCCTCCTCCTCCTCCTCCTCCACCTCCTCCTCCTCCTCCCCTTCCTGCCCCTCCTCCTCCTCCTCCTCCTCCTCCTCATCCTCCTCCTCCTCCTCCTCCCAAGTGCTTTGACATGGTGAGCCCGCATGCACTTATGAGGGAGGCAAGGGCCCTGGGCTTACCCATGCGTCTGCTGTGGATGCTTCTGCAACTGTACCAGCAGCCACGACGCATAAAGGCGTACGGCAGCTTGTCGCGTGAGTTTGTTGCTTTTCAAGGTGTGTTGGCTGGGTGCACACATGCCACGTACCTCATCTACCTACTCACCTACCGTGTCCTCCAGCGGGCCAGCAGGATAGGCCCGACTATCACGCCACGGTCTTTGGTGGATGATATCGGGCTCCAAATGGTCTCTCCTGACCTCGCCGATGTCAAGGTGCTGCTGCGCACAGCCATGGTGCTCACGGCTGAGGCTCGAGATCTCGGCCTTATCCTTCAGCCCGCCAAGTCTGCGGTGGTGGCAGGCTCAGCGAGTGTCCGCCTTGTGGTCACCAGGACCCAGCGGCACATGACGCGTGCAGTCCCCCAAGAATCCCACATGCGCAACTTGGGGCATGAGCTTTCTGGCCCTCGTGTTCTGCGATGGGTCGAAAAGAAGCGGCTGAAGGCGGCTAAGGAACGCAAGCACCGCCTCCTTATGTTTCGCCGTGCGGTGGGAAGCAATGCCTCCACCTTGTGGCGCACAGGACTCATGCCGTCCGCTGGCCACGGTGCTGGTGTATCTGGGCTGGCAGATGCGCCTCTTCGTGAACTGCGGAACCTCGCTGCAGCTCTCAATGGGAAGAGTGACAAATACCATGTGTGCGTTACGGCGTATCTTTTTACCCATCCCTCAGATGAGTACGACCCGATTTACCAGGCTACGTTGGACCTGGCTCTAAACTACGCTGCTTGGGTGTGGGATGGGCGCACATGCCCCAGTCGATTGCAAAAGGCTTGGACAGCGCTCCATGAGCGTGTTGTCCCCATTAGCTGGGCCAACGCCAAATGTCGATTTGCTGCGACGTGGCTCACGCTCAGACGCATTGCCTGGGACATGAAGGCGCCACATGTGCTGCAATTTGCCCTTTCGGGGTGGAAAAAGGATTGGAGTTACTGCCAGAGTGGAAGACAAATACACAATTGCTACCATGTGAAGATTCTTAGGCTTACGCCACACCGCCGACCCCTTGTTTATGCCAATCTGGGGGTAGTAGAAGCTGCGAAGGGGTGAAAAGGCGAGTGATATTTGTTTGGTGTCTGTTCGCCGCCACCGCCAGAGGGTCTCGGGCAGTTCCGCGGGGGGGTCCGAGCGGACGGCGACACCGCGGGCGGTCGTGGTCTCATCTGGGGCCATCAAGTGGTGTGCAGAGGCTGCGAGAAACTCGGGTTCACAGCGCGCAGTTGCGTGGGATATCAGTGCAGCGGCGCGTGCAAGAGACAACTGCCGACGTCGGCGTTCCCTGACCCTCCCAATGTCGCGCGCGACGCAAAGAAGGGTACCCTGAAGTGCAAGGCTTGCTACCATGTGAAGATTACGCAGTTTCAGACTGGGAAAGCGCAGGGGATGTCAATCCTCTGCGTGTGCCGCATGCATTCCCCGATTTTCTGGGATGAGTGTGACCTTGCAGAGATCGGACAGAGAAGAAGTTGAGCATTCCTCAGCGCGTTTGGCGCGGGAAGCGGCATACGAGCGCGTTTGGCGTGGGAAGCAATTGTTTCGGCGTAGTGAGTAGAGAGCGCGAGCGAGGACATATCGGAACGCTGGAGCTTATGTGGAGGAGGGGGGGCGGGCGGGGCAGGGTGTTTCGGGGTGCAGGAGCTCGGGCTCACAAATTACAACAGGGCTCAGGGACCCCCCCTACTCGGGAACCTTGTTCGCCAGCGCGCCCCCCAGAGTGGGCACGCGAAAAAGGCAAGCAGCTGTTCCCCTCGCGCTGACCCGTAGGGACTCGTCTGAATCAGCGAGCCTCTCTTATGGGGCCACCTCGGAGCTCGCCCCCTTGAGCTTACCGGCGTGCCCCCTGCCTGCTCCGTGAGACGTCTGGGGCTTGCAACAGAATCTAGTCGCAAAGGGTTTTGCGAGTTGCGCGCGCAGCTCCTTCGTAGGTGTTGACGGTAACCACCTCATGCGGCTGACCATGATGACCTCCTCCCCCTCTTATTCCTACTCCTCCTCCTCTTCCTCCTCCCTGCCCGGCCGAAGCGCGCTCCGGTGCTCTCCCTCCTCCTCCCTGCTACAGTTTCCCCCACCTTCCCTCCTTCCTCCTCCTTCCTCCCTCGCTTCCCCTCCTTTCCCCTCCTCCTCCTCCTCCTCCTCTCCTCCTCCTCCTCCTCCTCCTCCTCCTCCTCCTCCCCTCCCTCCTCTCCTCCTCCTCCTCCTCCTCCCCTCCTCCTCCTCCTCGCCTCCTCCTCCCTCCTCCTCTCCTTCCTTCCTCCCCTCCTCCTCCTCCTCCCTCCTCCTCCTCCTCATCCGCCTCTCCTTCTCCTCCTCCTCCTCCTCTCCTCCTCCTACCTCCGCCTCCTCCTCCCCCCCCCTCCTACTCCTCCTCCTCCTCCTCCTCCTCCTCCTCCTCCTCCTCCTCCTCCTTCTCTTGCGCTTCCTCCCTGGGCCTCCGCAGGAGGAGGGGTTCCAGTGCTTGGAGGACGGCAAGACCAAGAAGGCTGCGCGGCGGGAGAGGGTCCCTTGACTTGGAACGCGTGTTGGCCCAATGTCCACCGAGCGCGTTCCACGATTCGCAAAGTGCATAGTCGCAAACGCAAGAAAAAAAACACACGTCCGCCTGCATGTCATATGTAGTAAATCCCCCACGGCGGATCCAGGCCGTTTTGCGAGTTGTGACCTTGCGAGTAGCGGAACGCGCTTGTCCAAACGTGTGTGTGTGTACCCCCGTCAGCCCAATCAGTCGACCATTACATCGCCTGGGTCGTGTCGAAGGGCCTCTCGATGGACAAACACACGTTGGGGCCAACACACGTTTCGAGGATGGTCGATTGGAGCCGTCTGGGGGTCTGAGGCAGCCCAGCACAAGTTCCGCCCAGCAGGAGTGGCGGGCGGGCTATGGAGGTTCGGCCGCCAGTTTTCGTCGCCGCTGCGTCGGATTACACGGTGCCGGCTGCAGACTGGCTAGCACCCTCTCCCCGCGCTTTCGCGCTTATCCAGAGAAACAAAAATTAGCCTGTTTCGGTCTCCGGTTTTTTGGTGGAGCTTCATGCAGAACCAATGCGCTGCAGTGCCTACTCGAGCTGGATACCTGGTCCGATGGACCCACCGATGTCTGGATCACACCAGGCATACAACCTTTCCTTGGCTTCTTGTTGTGCTGGGGAAAGGAACACATGATCTCTGGCGAAAAACTGCATCAGATGGACCACGGGATGGGTCCAGGGACAGGTTTTGACCGGATTTGGCTTCATCCCCCGCCTCCCCGCCTCCGAAGCGATTGTCCCAACCAGTTCAGACCCACCGGCCACCTCCCACATGTTGACCTTCGGCCCTGCCAGAGGCCCTGCTCCCAGACCTGTGGTGACCCGAAGACGTCGCACCAGGATTCGTCTCGGGAATTCTCTGGCCTGAGTTCTCAAGGTCTGGGCCCTGGGGCCTCAGCAAAATCGGCGCGGACTGAGGGAAAGGAAGAGGATCGGAAGTGGCCAGGACAAGGACACATCTGTTCCAGAGCGTTCCAGGACGCTCTCAGAGCGTTCTGCAACGCTCTGAGACGGCCGCGGCGCCCGCGACATCCTCCAGAGCCGCAGGATCTCAGAAATTCTCGACTTATCCTCACCCGAACTTGTCCTCTCCCTGGCTTCGTCTTAGGAGGATGAAGCGGAAGATACGCAGCGGCGCGCTCGAAGGGCAGCTGGGGGAGGGGGGGGGGGGGGCGGCCCTCGAAGGGAGCGGGGAGCCTTCTTCTCAAGACCAGAGACTTCTTAGGGAGGCTTCTTCGGGGTTCAAGAGAAGAGAGTCAATGCAGACAGGGGTCAGTCCGAGCGCCAGATCTTGCAGGATCCTGCAGAGCCAGGGGCGCACTGACCCGGGTTTGGGTCAGAAGGCGGCAGGATCCTGAAAGGCCTGATTGACCCGGCTCTGGATTGACCCAGGTCAGGAGATCCCCGATTATATTCGGTAAGAAATCATGGGAGCCTGGTATCCCCTCTTAATTCCTCCTCTAACTTTGATAATTCCGATTAGCGTTTGGGAGTCGATCAGATAGCGCCGATCGCCCCCCCCACCTCCTTCTAGCAGGCCGCCCCCGCGTGCTGCCCCACTGAGAGCGACGCCAGAGGGGAAGGAGAAGGAGCACGAAGGGGAGCGTGGAGCATGGATTGGCCTTGGTCCGAGGACCCAGGAGGGAGGAGGGAGGACGGAGGAGGCGACGACGACAACGACGACGACGACGACGACGACGACGACGACGACGACGACGACGAAAAAAACGACGACGAAAAAAACGACGACGAGAAAAACGACGACGAAGGTTCGTCGTCGTCGTCGTCGTCGTCTCCCCCCTGCTCCCTCCTCCCTCGGAAGAGAAGGCGGTGAGACAGAGGATGCACGCGCCGGAGGGCAGAAGCACGGGGCATCGCGCCGGCTCTCATCGGTGGCAGCAGGCTCTGCGTTGCACACGAGCGCAGGCAGGGCAAGGACGACGAGCAGCAGGACGTTCGGAGCCCTGAGCGTCAGTCGGGTATGGCCAGGACGCCAGGTAGGGGGACCCGGTTAGTGGTAGTGGTAGAGTAGGCCCCGGAGCCCCTAAATTGCCCAGAACCATTAAACCGGGTCTGCCATAACCTTTGTTTTTTCGGGTGACGGCAGTTCCGGTTAGTGGCACGGGGCGGGGGGGGGGCGCCGGCTCTCATCGGTGGCAGCAGGCTCTGCGTTGCACACGAGCGCAGGCAGGGCAAGGACGACGAGCAGCAGGACGTTCGGAGCCCTGAGCGTCAGTCGGGTATGGCCAGGACGCCAGGTAGGGGGACCCGGTTAGTGGTAGTGGTAGAGTAGGCCCCGGAGCCCCTAAATTGCCCAGAACCATTAAACCGGGTCTGCCATAACCTTTGTTTTTTCGGGTGACGGCAGTTCCGGTTAGTGGCACGGGGCGGGGGGGGGGCGTCCCCCTTTACACCTCACTGAACCACGTTCCACTAAACCCAGTTCTACCCACACCCGAGTCAGCGTCATGAGAAGGGGCGCCACGATGGTCCGGGAAGCGTGCCCGACCGACATCATGATGCAGCGCATCGCGAGCTCGGCCAATTTCTGATCGAGCAGCTTGACTACCATCTTGAAAGTAGCGCAGCCAAGAGCGCCGCGCCGACGCGAGTGAGCTTGCAGCCCTGATGGGATCCTCACCCTAGCGAGGAGGGGGGAGGAGGAGGGGGGGAACGAGGAGGAAGGGGGGGGGGGGGGGGGAGGATGAGGAGGGAGAAGGAGGTGAGGGAGGGAGGGAAACAGGAGGAGGAGGACGGAGGAGGAGGACTAGAAGGGGCAAGGAGGAGCAGGAGCAGGAGGGGATGAGGAGGAGGAGGAGGAGGAGGAGGAGGAGGGGAGGAGGAGGAGGATGAGGAGGAGGAGAGGAGGAGGAGGAGGAGTGGGAGGCTGGAGGAGGGAGGAGGAGGAGGATGGAGGAGGAGGAGGTAGGAGGAGGAGGAGGAGGAGGCGGAGGGGGGAGGAGGCGGAGGGGAGAGGAGGAGGAGGCGGAGGAGGAGGCGGAGGAGGAGGAGGAGGAGAGGAGGAGGAGGAGGAGGAGAGGAGGAGGAGAAGTAGGAGGAGGAGGAGGAGGAGGAGGAGGAGGAGGAGTGAGGAGCAAGAGGGAGGAGGTGGAGGAGGAGAGGAGGAGGAGGAGGAGGAGGAGGAGGAAGGAATGACGGAAGGAAGGAAGGACAGGGAGGGAGGAGGAGGAGGGGAGGACGAGGAGGGAGGAGACGGAGGAGGAAGTGAGGAGGAGGAGGAGAGGAGGAGGAGGAGGGGAGGCGGAGGAGGAGGAGGAGGAGGAGGTAGGGAGGCGGAGGAGGAGGAGGAGGAGTAGGAGGGGAGGAGGAGGGAGGAGGAAAGGAGGAGGAGGAGGAGGAGGAGGAGGAGGAGGAGGAGGAGGGGAGGAGGAAGATGAGGAGGAGGAGGAGGAGGAGGAGGAGGAGGAGGAGGAGGAGGAGGAGGAGGAGGGAGGAGGGAGGAGGAGGAGGCAGCAGGGAGCAGGGAGGAGGGAGGAGGGAGGAGGAGGAGGATGGAAGGGGGGGCCCTCGGCGGTGCCCCCGGCGAGGCCACGTGCCGGTGGGGCAGTTACGGCGGCAAGGCGTTGGGCGGCGCCACCCCGAGGCAGTGGGACACCGCCGTGACCTTCTTCTGCTTCGCAGTCGTGACCAAGGATACCTACGAGGTGCCTCCCAGTGAGAGAGGAGGACCGAGGATCCAGAGATCCAACGCATTGAAGAAATCAAGGCGGAGGTTTTTGATGCGGTTTTGGGCCTCTAGGGGCCCTCGCCGGGCCTCAGGACCGTCAGAATCGATTCAGGATGAAGAACCAGTCCCGCGGAAAGGGTCGGGACTTCCGGGGACCCCGCATCGAAAAAGTCACGACACCGGATCTCTGGGGATCGAGGAGGGTCGAGGACAATCGGGGAGCATCGGGGGCCGATGGAGGTCGAGGAGGGCCCAGGGCCTCCTCGTGTCTCCCCTCCTGCCCAGGCGCTGCTCCTGTTGCTGCTGCCGCTGCTCCATCTCTGCCTCCTCGTTTTTCCTCCTCGTTTCTCCCCTCCTCCCACCCCCGTCCCGTTGCCCCTCCTGCTCCTGCTCCTCCTCCTCCTCCTCCTCCTCCTCCTCCTCCTGGATTCCCTTCGGGGATCATCCGTTAAATTGGAACGATACAGAGAAGATTAGCATGGCCCCTGCGCAAGGATGACACGCACAAATCGAGAAGTGTATACAATCTTATTCCGCACGCTCGACTCCTCCTCCTCCTCCTCCTCCTCCTCCTCCTCCTCCTCCTCCTACTCGCATGGTAGGTTACCTTGATAAGGCATGTGTAGCATATGTCAGCAGCGTAGCAGTAATGGATGGGTGCGGGCAGGCTCATCCCCTTGCGGCCATTTGGGTTCCAGGCATGCCTCCTGCTACATCGCTTCACACATCCTTGAAAAGATCCGGCTTTCACCATCCGCTTTGCATGTCTGGTTGGTACTGGAGCATAGACGCGGCGATTTGCTGTGCAAGCTACATGGGATGCGCATGCGTTGCACGATTCACAGGACGACGATCGAAAGAACGAGGCTTGAGGCCCCAGGATCGAAGAAGAACGGGTACGGGAACGAGGGGTAGGAGAGGGATGGAAGGGAGGGCGGGGGGGGCGAAAGGCCATCGCGGAAGCAGCAGCATGCGTGGAGAAGGTGAGGCGGGGAATAGGACGACAATGAAAGTGGCGGGAGGAGACAGAAGACTGCCGCGTTTTTCAAGTGCGAGCTAAACCCGCAGCGCTGCCTGCGCCATGTCGTCGCAGAGTTCCACATGAAAAAACTAGTTTAGAGTGCAAGGAACGAGCGAGGCGTAGCTCGCCCGCTAGCTTCTCCGCCTCCTTCCCGCACATTTCAGCGCGGGAGCTGAACGCCCGCAGGCGCGCCGCCAGGTCTGCGGGCGGCCCGCGGGAAAGAAACTCAAGGCCGGGGTCGCGCATCATCAATCGGTTGTCCATCGTCCAAAGTTGCACTGGCGACGTACTGGTTAAACGCGGAGCGAGCAGCATCACGCGCGTGCCTGAACTCCACGCAGGTACAGTGCACGCGCGATTGGGACTTCAGGTCGATCGCGCGCGTCCCCACCAGGCTTGGCAACACCACGCGACTGAGGATCTCACTGCGGTCTGCCATGCTGCTGTCCGCGAATGCAATGCGCTGCCTGCAAGTAAGGCGGCGGCGTCCACTTGTCTCAGAAGATGTTCCCGCGGGCCCGAAGGGCGACCGCCAGCTCGAACCGCGGCGCCGGCAGGCCAGATAAGGATCATGCAACAGCAAAGACGATGACAGAGCAACGAGGTATCGGCGAGTGCATGACCGGCCTCCGTTTCCTGCACTTCTTTCCTGTAGCTCCCCTAGCTCATCGAGCTCAGCAGATGTTTCTGCGGGTCCGAAGGACGACCGCCAGCTCGAGTCGCAGCGCCGACGAGCTGCATCCACATCAGGCAACACCCCAGGAGACACTGCACACAACGATTTGACGTCAGTCAGTGCCAGACCACTCCATGTCTAGTTCCTCGCACACATACAGTCGATCGCAGATGCGGGATAATCGAAGTAGAATGACGGGTCCAATCTGCGTCCGCGTAGGACGTCACTATGCTGGACCCCGCAGCAGGTCTCGAAAGTGGCGACAGTTTCATGAGCCCCACAGCAGCCCTCGAAAGTGGCGACAGTTTCACAGATCGTAGCCCCCCAGCGCTGGCGAGGTCTAATCTGAGTCCCCGTAGGACGTCACTCCGCTGGGCCCCCAGCAGCCTTCGAAAGTGGCGACAGTTTCACAGATCGCAGCCCCCCAGGGATGGCGAGGTCTAATCTATATCCCCGTAGGGCGTCACTCCGCTGGGCCCCCCACGCAGCCTTCGAAAGTGGCGACAGTTTCACAGATCGCAGCCCCCCAGGGATGGCGAGGTCTAATCTGAATCCCCGTAGGGCGTCACTCCGCTGGGCCCCCCAGCAGCCCTCGAAAGTGGCGACGGTTTCACAAATCGCAGCCCCCCAGGAATGGCGAGGTCTAATCTGAATCCCCGTAGGGCGTCACTCCGCTGGGCCCCCCAGCAGCCTTCGAAAGTGGCGACAGTTTCACAGATCGCAGACCCCCAGGGATGGCGAGGTTTAATCTGAGTCTCCGTAGGGCGTCACTCCGCTGGGCCCCCCAGCAGCCCTCGAAAGTGGCGACAGTTTCACAGATCGCAGCCCCCCAGGG